TTCTGGGGAAAAACAAAAAAATCAGTCATTTGAATCTTGCTGGGAAGAATCAATTCTAAATTTCTGATTTATTTTTTTTAGGACCTTCTTCAGCCAGCTCTGGTTTGGAGTGCGTCAAAAACCTGGCCATTTCGGAGCTGAGCAAAACACTGCACAGCAGTGCCCTTAAAATCCAAAAACAAGCCCCTGCCAAAATTTACGAGCAACATTCGGATCCAATAAAGTTACAGGTGCGCTCCTTGACCGCTGCGTTTCTGGGAGCACACCCATGCTTCCACTTGCTTTTGCACAAGGGGGGCAAATCCCAGGTATCAGGAGGCACAGGCTCAGGCAGGTGCGGGGAACGTGCATGAAAGTCATGTGAGAAAAGCCACAAGGGGCAGAAGGTGGAAAGGCAAGGAGCCTCTCTTGTGCCATACAGGCTTTAAAGCTATTTATTTCTAGCCTGCAGTTTGCTGCCAGAGCCTCTTGTCCATAGCTTTTAAGGTTGTTACCGCTGAGGTCTCACCTCGTCTCGGGTTTAAGTGATGCTACGCCAAATCTGGGTCTCAGCAACACACTGCTGCAGAGTCAGGAATATAAGCAAGTCCATTATATACCTCTTTTATATGGAGTTACCAAATTTATAGGTTGTCTACAAAATTTTCTCTCTTTTATCCTGGTAATTGCCTTTTCTAAAATTCACCAGGCAAGGGCAATAATTCAAATAACCTTGGTTTTCAACTAACATAAATGTTAATCCTAGGCTGGCTCCTGTGATTCAGCAAATCTCTTCCAACCTTGCAGGTGTAAGCATGATGCTGTTTAAGAGACTCTACCTGTCTGAACCAGAGGTGCATGGGTGAGAGCATGCCAGCTCACGGGGCACAGAGAGCCCCCCGTGCCTAAATTCAGCCATATACAGAAGCATCGTTTCATATTTTGTCATCATTCTTTGCTACTTCAACACTGTGGTCACAACTGTCTGCTATGAGCAAGAGACCCTGGCAGGTGTGTGATTTTTTGGCCACTGTACACCACAAAGACCAAGGAAACTCAAAGCTGATCAAGAGAGCGCCAAGAGGGCAGAAAAAAAATTAGTTTGAGCTAAGCTATGGATTTAAGGAGCTTGGTTCTCCCCGTGCAGACTCCTAATGGGATGCACAGGCAGATCCAGGTGGATGATGACAATTTATACCAGCTGAGGAGATGTCTCTTAATGCCAATATCACAATAAAAGGTCACTTTTCTCCTGCCTATTCTTAGTTGACTACTTGTGCTGCAAGTTTTTTGAGGCAGAATATTCTGATTTCCAGACCCATTTAGTGCTGTGGGATCACAAACGGAGCATGAGCTTCCAGGCAATACTGCAAGGCAAGTAATAAAATATTTATCCTCCACTGCCTTCGGTGCTTCTATGTTCTGCAGAGGAAGCCATCAAAACTAGAGCCACCAGTTTACAGCTGGAGTCTTCAAAAAGAAACAAAACCAAGCTTTTACATCCACATCTCTCTCAAAACCAAAGGTTTTCACACCCTGACCCCTTGCAAAACATTCTCATTTCTCAAATAATAATAATAAAAAGGTAAAATTTCCAGCTGAAAAGAAAATAATATAGATGCTAACAAAACTTACATGACTTAGAAGATAGGAGGGCCTTTTCATAATGACATTAACCAAGCTGCAACCTATACGGGACATATGATGCTCAGAGCTGGGTCCCAAACCCACCTTCAGGGAACCTGAATGCTCATGAAGGCCGCAGCATCTGGAGTCACAGCCTGGCTCCTGGAGGGGGTGAAAGCAGCACATTCCCACTCACTGTGGCAATCCCCACCTGCATTTCTTCCCTTCAACCACTAAACATGAAGTTGATAAATTCCTACCCCTAATTTCACCCATTTTTTTAGAGTGCTACAGAAGCTACAGACATTTTTGAGACAACACCCTGATCTCTGGCAAAGCAACTGCTCTTTCTTTCTCATCGGAAAAGCTTCCTTGATGTGCAAAACCCTGCATACCTGTATAGCCCAAACTCATCGAGTCTCCAGTGCTACCAAGTCTGTGGGGTTATTGGTGCTAAAACAAGGCTTCCCACTCACTCTTAACGTGCCAGAGCTAATGCTCCGGGAAAGAACAGCACGTCCTTTTTCATGCATTAAACAGGAAAGTTGCTCTACTCATAACCTGTAACGGCAGCAAGGAAAAAGTTCCTCCCTTGCAGATACAAGGGGAGGAAAGGACCAGGTGCCCATACTTACCGGGTGGCGGAGGGAGCTGGTTCCTGCTGTGCTGGTGGTGCCAGTGGAGGAGGTGGCAGGGTCTCTCCAGCAGCAGCACGTGGAGCCCAAAGACCAGAAACCCCCGGCATGACGTGCTCTGCAGAGCATCTCCTCCGCTGCCAGGTCCCGATAGCAGCTATTGCCATCTGGCGCTGATGCCAGCCCCGCCGCTGCCTTTTTCCAGAAATACCGAGGCACAACCCATCCCTGCACCCCAGAGCCCTCCAGACGTCCTCTCACCGAGCCCCTGCACAGCGCAGTGCCTTCCCCCAGCAGCTGGCAGAGGCTTCGCCAGCAGGCAAACACAACCAAAATTGTTCCAGAGGATGTTTGGATGCAAAGGGCTGCTGGAGCTAAAGAAGGGGCAGGACCGGTGGTGGCAGGGGAGGACATCTGCTGCAGATTTAGTCAGCTGAAAGCAAAGCTCTGGGGCACCTTCCCAATACTGCTAGCCCAAGGGGGAAGCTGCTTGTATTTCTGGCTCATCACATTCCAATTTTGGGGAAGAGCAGGGACTGCAGTGTCAGAGAGGCAAACGCTCCCCACCACCAAGTCATCTGGTTTCAACCAGCACAGCTCCTGGGCAAGGGACACGGCCAAGGGACCTTCCCCACCCTCCCTCTCTGGATCCCCTGATTGCTGTCTTATTTTAAGGAAACTAAATTGTTTAGGAGCTAACAAAGAAAAAGTTAACGCAGGAATTTCTGCCCGTTAATCACTTCATACCATGCTCTGGGGTTTTCTTTTGTCCAAGCTACAGAGAAACGCGGAGCTAGACAATCCCCATCTTGGGAGGGAAGGAACACTGCAATATTTTGATGCAACAGGACTTTATGAAATACAAGATTTTACAGTAATGGCATTATGGTTGCGTATCAAACTGTAACAGGGGATAACACAGCACCATGTGGCTTGCCAGCAGTGGATCAGCACCGAGGAGTCTTTGGAGTCTGCACAACAGCATTAGCTGCCAAGGTCAAGGAAGAGCACAGGAAGGGCTCTCTGGAGCTGCTGGTCCCAGGGAACCCTGGGGAAGCTTCAGCACAGAGCCACATCCCCGCAACAGATCCAGACTCTTTGGAAACCAAAGGCAAAAGGCAATGGAAGGAAGGAACCCTGGAAGGAGTGTTTCCAACACAGCGTGACTGACTTGAGGTGGCTCAGAGCCGGCCCCGCAAGCATAACTTCCCTCTTGCCCCTACCAAGATAATTAAGGTTAAAAACACTTAATAAAAGACCCGTGACCTTGAAAAATTAATACACTTTCTGCAGTGCACAAGGATCACTCTCTTCTTTATCTCAGCAGAAAGCTTCCTTTGCTTCCCTCTTTAAGAAAACTGGAAGAGCCAAAGTTGCAGCTGGCCAGACCATGAGATGGGACAGAGGGTTCCCCCATGGCTGGTAATGCCACGGTGCCAAGTGCTAGCAAGCTGAACGGCCCCAGTGCTCAAAAGCATCAAGCACACCCGCAGCAAGCACGGAGAGGAGTTTCTGGTGTCTCAAGCTTTTATTGCACAGAAGAAGAAATAAATAATCTAAAGGCTGAAATGCTCAGAGATGAAAGGAAGTGAAAGGCAGTGATTTCCCCCTCCTTTTAGCATCAGAACTGATTTGTGGTGCTGGGGCATGCCTCAACCCAGAGCCCTCCCTCGCACCTCCCTGGGTCTCTGCCAGGACCGCTGCCTGCAGGCAGGACAGTGCTCAGCGGAAGGGTTTTTTCCGTGGGGAGCAGAAGTGATGGTGACAGGGACATCCGTGCAAGACCTCACCCCACCCCATAGCCACTGCCCACCAACCCTAAGATCTGCACAGGAAATCCTGCAGCATCCCCAGCTGAACCTCCTGCATCCCAAATCATGGCAGTGGGAGAAATGGCTCCTTGTGGGAGCTCACTATGGGATGGGCTTTAAGCAAAATAAGCAAAGATGAGGCTGAACATGTTCTGTTAAGGCACTTCTGAATCATCTGCCCCTTCAGCCAGGAGATGCTCTATTTGGACCCAGCTATGTTGTCAGGTCCCAGGTGTCATGTCAGAAAGGATGTGGGAAATCACCACAAACAGCTTCGAAGACATCATTTCACAGTTTTACAGTAGACGTCATTATACCGCATTACTTCATTTAAGTGTGCGATTCCAGTTGTGAATGTGTTTCATAATCTTCTTGTACTTGTCACTGATTCTGGCCTATTGTCTAATGCCTTAAACTACTTTCTAAGACCTTGGTAATTGAAAAGCTGAGGTAGAAAATTACTGTATTACAAGCAGGAAAATTCGTGCCAAGAGGAGAAGTGAATTGACCTGGAAGGTCGCATCCATCCGTGGCACAGCTGGGAGCAGGGCGCTGGCTCCTGCTGCTGAGGTCACCGCTCCCAGGCACAAAGCGTCCCTAGTCACCCAGAGGACATTTGAAATGGGGTGCTGTAAGCTTTTATAGTGGTGACGGTCTTTAGAGCTCAACAGTGCTTATAATTGAATTCTTTAAAAGGATTATATTGTCCTCAGTAACTCATCACTTCCCTGGACTGGCCCTTTCATTTGCATTTTTTCCCCCATTTTGGATAAGATTTGAAACCCAGCAGTGTTGTAGTTTGCATAAACAAACAAGCCTCGAATACATAACTAACTATTCACATCCTTTTCATATATATTCAAGTATTTCACAAGGCACCGTGGCAGCCATTAGCATTTCTAAATGCTTTTTGAAGTGACGGCTTGAGGCTTAATTTTTTATGTGTCCTTTACCGGAATTGATTCCCAAACTCCTCTCTGCTGATAAGCGAGGACTGGTGATAGCGGTCCCGCGAGGCGAAGTCTGCGTTCTCCTCGGTGAGCTGTGTGGTCTCCATGCCAACTGTTGCAAAGGATGGTGTCACCACGATCTGCTCCTTGGGAGATGGCCTTCTCCTGCAAACACGAAGCACAGGCGCCTGCATCATCCCTTGTTTGCCATCCATTAGCAGCCGTGCTCTCAGCTGTGCAAACAAGGCAGGGCGCTTCGAGAAGAGGCTGAATCCTTCTCGGCGCCCTTGGGAGGCATAGGGCTAACCTGAAAACATTTTTCTTAGAAGGCGCACAAAAAATATACTCCCTTCCCCAGCCAACACTGGAAAATATACATTTTCTTAACAAATAAGTTTCCTCTTTGGACACTGGCTATGGCAAACACTTTCCACACTGTGCGGGAGAAGAAGGAGCATGAACAATTTCTAATGAAAAATACCCTTCTTATAGTTTCCTAAGCTTTAGTGTACAATTATTTTTGTAACTCTTTCAAATGAAAGAGGAGATTTCCCTGCAATCTGTTTATCCCAGAGGCTGATTTTAAGAAAACCTTATTGCACATCTGCAAATCAAAACTGTAAGAGCTTATAGCACCGACTCAGACCTCGTTGAGCACCTAAGAGCCTTAGAGGTGTCAAGGATCCTTGGTTGCCTCCAACTCTCTTGCAGTCTAATGGGATTTCTTCTTTACCTCGAATTCATTAAAATAGCTTGCCTGGGTTTCAAGAAAAGAGAGCTTAGGAAAAACCTGTAAATTACTTCAATGCAATTTCTTGCAGCATAGCAAAGGTGGGCATCAAAATGACCCACCCGACCCCCAAGCAGAACCAAAATTGTGCCAGCGTGAGCAGGAGCCCTGGCATTAGGATAAGGTGACCAAGCTGGCTGGCTGACCCAGACATTGCACTCTTTGAGGAGAGAGAAATAGGATCAGTTTCTGCCTTGGGCACTTGCCAGCTCCCCACTCGGCCCTCCTCAACAGCATCTTTGCTCATTGATTGCACTGATCGAAGCACTCCAAGGACTGTGCCGGTCTGGTAACCCACAGGATAAAATTCGCCTGTGACAACAGCACCTCTACCCATGAGAAGCAGGGCTGCCTCTCCGGGAGGGATAGTTTCTCCTTTCCACACATGGTAACTCTCCATGAAGCCTTGCATCTCAACCAGCCTCCCGTGGAGGACCTCTGACAATGAGCAGGACACGGGGCTGAGACGCACCAAGGGACAACCGGCAAGAAAATCCTGCTCTATCATCATAGCTGCACCAAACTAAAATGACCTGACACAAATCTGCCTAGATGCTGAGGTGGAACTGGAGAATCTCCCTAACCTGGGCTCTTAGCCCCTAAAGCTTAGGCAAGCATGCAGCTTTACACAACCACTGTGAGAGGCAGCAGTAGCTGTGTGAACAAAGCTATTCATGGCAAGAGGTGTGCGGGACAGGGGGGCCTTCAGGGACCCAGTCCCATACTCGGAGACATCCACTGGTGTGGTAGAGAGAGAGATGGATGTGATGCAGGAGAACCGACTTGTCTGTTCTCAGCCATGCCACAGACCTGCCATGGGGACCTAAGAGAAGTCCTGTCACCCCTGGCTTCTCTCCCAAGCTACCTCTGCTACCAAAGGCATGTGGCCATGTTATAGGAACTGTGGGCAGAGGCAGGAGCTGGCAAGACAGTCACAGGTGTGTGCCAATGTGCTTAAATGCCTGGAGTTTCATTTATTTTAAAGCAGCCACCAAATTTGCCCACATAATACACGGCAGCTCATGTTGTGCAGTCCTTGCTACAGTGTTCACCCACCGCAACAAAAAAGCAACCCAAGAGACTGAGAACCTCAAAATCCCACTGCATCATACAGTGGCAGAGATGGTCAATACCTGCTGTGGGAAACCCAAATGTGATGGAATTAATAATTAATAGGATCAAAACAGATTAACAAAACTAGTTAATAACCAACCAAACAAAACCCTTAAGGTCTTCTAGGAAGGAAAAACCCAAGACAATGCTACTGCAGTCCCATCCAAACTCAATACTGAATGGTTCCTTAACTGAAGACCTTGTTTATTGTACTTGCCCTGTAGCTATTGCGGCTTCCCCCCCAGTTTCCTCTCTGAAATTCGAGCGCAGCTGCCACGTGTGCCTGTTCCACCACTACTGTAGTAATTCGCTTTCAATGGATGGTGGTGGAAGACATGGAGTCTGCTGTTCCTCACTTCCTACCAGATTTTCTGCTTCAACCCGAGCCACCAAGGTTGAGCACAGACCTTTGGGGTAAGATAAAGCTTCAGGCACTGAGATATGGTTAGCAGCTGACATGTCCATGCATAAGGCAGAGGAGACTCCAGCATTCCCACTTATGTGGTCAGCCATACGCCAGGCTAACAGGAGCAAACAGTTATTTTTACCACTAAGAATAACTTTGAGTATGCAAGAAGGGACCGCTTAAGGTAATAAGCAAGTCAACTCTGCCACCCCTCTGTGCACATCAGTGGGTCACGGGAACAACGAGCACCACCTCAGTCACTGCCAAGTGACTGGTACCAACCTGCACAAAGTGATCAAAATTGACTTAATCCAGCTGAAGAAACTGAAATTTGCTGCTGCTCCTGCAGAGAAAAGGCACAAGAAATCAGTACGCTGCTAATTCTCTCATAATAACATTACGCCATTGAATTTTTGCACAAATCTCAAACCAACATGCTTGTTATTAGCCTTCAGTACACAAAGATTTTTCAGTGGCGAGAACACTCCTGCAGTCTCCCCACACACTGTGGCTTTTAAGCGATTGTCAGGAAACTTAACCCAAATTTCCCATGGAGAACAGTATCCCTTCCCAGACCGACAGCTTGTGAAAACCCCAGTAAAGCAGTGAGCAAAGCACAGACACCCCCTGCAGTACCTTTTCCTCTTGGACTGCAAAGCTCATTCCCACTGCAGGAATGGGGAGACGGGAGGAGCCATTCAACCAACCTCAGCCAGGGTGGCTGTGGTCTCACCATTCATTCCCTCCCATTTGACCCCATGCAGAGCTGGCTTAGCTTATTACACCAACACCAATTTTTTCTGATTTCTCTGTAGAGCTAGTTTCCTGCACTGGCTCAGTACATGGGCGGGGAAGTGCTGGAGCTGGCAGCGTGAGAAGTTTGTGGTGAGGGACAAGGAGGAGAACAGAGACCCAGCAGGCTTGCTGGATTTGCCTTAGGCTGTTGGGCAGAAAGAGAGAGGAGAAGGGGCATGTCGAAATCCCAGAGCATTTCTGCTCCCAAGGTCTTAATCTAGTCCTTAATCCAGAGCATCTATCCAGCCAGTGTCTCTCAACCTTTCTAGACAGAAGGGTTGTTCAGTCTTTTGGAGAACAAACTCATGGATCATTGGATGCCATGTGGCTGCACAATAACGTTCACTCACAGCCAAATAAAAATCAGGCTGAACTTTGAGTGTTCATTTCTAACTTGTTCTTTGCCATGAGTTGTTTTACTGCATGCATGGGAATGCATGTGCAAAGGAAACCAAGGAAAAAAGGTCTAATTATGCTGCCCTTGCTCAGATCACCTTCCAAAATTCTCTACACACTGACTGAGAAATTCTTTTTAAAGTCATTTTTGGTAAATATTTCAAAAGCACATAACAGAGATATAATATAGTGAATACACAAAGGCAAAGAAAACTCCAAAGCCTGAAAACCTTATTTGTGTTTTGTTTAATATATAAAAAAAATTGTTAAAACTTAGATATATTTCAAAAGATACAAATTAGCAAGTACTATCCGCAATCTCAGCTCTTTTCTACTATCCTACACAGATCAATAGAACAGACAATAATTAGAGTAGAAAGAGAAGCATTGGTGAGCGATGTTTTGATCGTTACCAAGTGACAACTATTTTTTGGTTTCTCATCGTTTGGGTTTCTGAAATCTAGTACCTACTTACCTACCGTCTAATAATCTTTCATCTAAATAAAGCCGGGTAGCTATTTCTGCATTGCTTAAAAGACATGAACTCAGGTTCTCTTGACTTTTCTCATCTTGGTTTCTCATCTTGGACAAAAAATTGCATGTACACACATGCAGGTACTTACGCACATATGCACCTACGTATGTATTTATGCATAAATACGTGAGTACACGCACGCTGTGTGCGTATCCCCCTCTCCCTTCAGAGACACAGACCAGTGCAAACCCCTCCTGCCGCCGTGCCAAGGAGCTGTAGGCTCTCGTGAGCTGCTTTCTGACTGTGCTTCACTGTTTAATTTTGAACTTGTTTAAGCCGATCACATGCACAGACCTTTCTAATGCCCTCTGCCTAAGAGTATTTTCCCAGATTACGTTCCCAACATATTCAACCTGTTTAGTTCTGGAATCAAAAGGCTCTCTTGTTCTGCAGTTATGAATGCTGAGATTTAATGAGATAGTCATCATAATTCCCATTTTCATTAAAGTTTTCTCAGATGGGTTTAGATTCATTAATTAAGTTTATTAAAACATATTTATGGCAGATTTTTCTCATTGCTGTGATACATTTACAATCTGCCATGCCTCTAAAGTCTTATTTTAGTATCTGGTGTTGCCATTTGAAGTACAATATATTAAAGCAATAAGCACAACGTTCAAACTATCAAACTCATGCTAGTTGCAGTTAGAATCCAATATAAAATTAGAGAGCCAGAGAGAAAATGTATTACAACCAGCAACAGAACAAAACCTCATCATTCACTGTGTCACCTGCATATTAAACACAAGAGTCTTGATTCCTAATTAAGTTAAAATAAAGCTTAATGAATTTTTAAGCAGATTTAATAATACAGGAAAAAAAATACTCACCAAGGGGGAGTCCTGGGCTCACTTGGCCGATGTAGAAATACAGAACAACTGCTGCACCCAGGCTGACAAGCGTGTAGATCCACTGAATGACAAACATGATGGCGAGGGACACGATCGCCTGTTGGGAAGACAAGGCTTGGGGTTACCCCAGAGTCCGTAAGAGAACACCTTGACAACAAGCTGACAGTCCTTCTTCTGCAAAGCCCAGCGGCTCTGCTGACCTCCTTGCAGTGGCCGGGAAGGACTACTCACCTTCAGACACAGCCTCACACCAAGTCAACAACTTGCTCTTCAACCTTGCAAGATGAGCATGATTTGCAACTCTAACGAAAACTCTTTAATAACTGAGGGAGTGCTGGAGCTTTCAAGTTGTTGTGAGAGCACCAGTAACTGGTTTTTGGCAGGGTTTTTTTGCCAGAGATGCTGAATCTTGGCTTTAAATTCATCGAAAAACAGTGCTTCAATGGCATCTCTGCACCTCCAGCTTTCTCAGGGACTTCTCAGGAGTATTGTATAAGAGATGTGCACAGTCAGGACCCAGGGCGCAGCCACCTGGCATTATCCTGACAAGTGTTGCCTTTTGTGTGTCTCCCTCCTAATGATGCCCCTGGATGGGGACACAACAGAGGCTCTCCTTGCCCAAGACCTGCTGTACAGCCCGTGTGCTGCCCGTGGGAGGATTGATGCCAGTTGCAACCACGTGGGTGGATGGACCCTCCTGGGCATCGGTGCCTGAGGACGGTGGTGCAGCAGGACCCCGGCGGAACCATATCATCTCCTGCCTGTAACACACTCCACGATGTGTGGCTTTTGGCCACACGTAGAGCATTTCCACGCAGTGTTATCTCTAAAGATTTGGGTATGGTGTGGCTGAAGTTTCTCAGTAGTGAGGTTCCCATGTCATAGGGAGCCTCGTTTGGCCTCACTGTTAAAAGGAGGGACAGCACAGGTTTACAGTGTCATCTTCAGCAGCATGGAGGTAGCTTTCAGTGAGCTACCTTGAGTCCTAGAGGCAGCGTGGACCTCAGGTCTCTGCTTGGGCTACTCCAAGAGGAATATCCAGAGGCTCACCAGCTCAGGAGGCAGATTTGGCTCAAGGGGCATATGAACCAGTGCGGGGTTAGCATATTCAAGGATCAGGGTAGGAGCAGCAAGGGGCAGCACGCAGAGAAAGCTAAATGAGCCCAGACTGACACAAACAGTGAAGTTCAAGGAGGGAGGGCAGAGGGGAAAGAAGCCAGGATGAATAAAAAATGCATCTGATTTTTGCTTCTGTGATTTTATTTTGCATCACTGATCCTTTCTCAGCTCTGCTGCAACCTCCTCCCAAGTCTGACTATTGACAGGAAACCAAATCTGCTTTAATGAACACGTCAGTCATCTCCGCAAGCAAATTCCCCTGCGAAGGCAGGGAACTGACTGCTCCGCAATGACATGCCCTTGGGAGCCACATTAGTTAACCGAGCCCAGAGACAGCATCAGGGTGCAACCTCCTAAAGGTGTCATCGCTAGAGAGGAGCCTGCACATCCATCCCACCCCTGGCATTGCAATCCAGTGGGACCCCTTGCCAGGAGCTAGCTGCTGGCAGCAGCAGCAGTGAATTTAAAAAGTAGGTGTCAAACTCCATCTGAGGATTAAACTAAAAGGCTTTGGTGTGTTGTTCAAGTGGGTTTGTTACATTTTACACACAGCTATGAAACCCCCATCCATGCAGCAAAGCCATATAGGTCATTCATTATGCATATCTGACCCTTTCCCTGTCATCTGCCCATTAATCCATCTTCCCAAGATGAATTTAAATGTCCTAAACTCCTCAGCGGCTTGAGACAGAAGCTACTGAAAACTTATTTATTCTTTAAAGTAAGGTGCTGGAGGAATGCTCCACTTTCCTCGCTCAAAAGGTGGAATTTCACAGGCTACTGTTATCAGGTCAGCACTAATGAAACCCCACCCCGAGCTTGCAGAAACTGGCTCATAAATAAAAGCCACAACGCTTTGAAGCTGATGTCTCACTCCATCCCAGGACAAGGGAAAGCAGGGTGGCACACAGTGAAAAGAGGGACACTGATTTTTTTCCCAGCCAGCCTAAAGTCCTAAGATGCCAGACTTCAAATTGTATCTTTTTGGTTTGGGTTGTTTGTTTTGGGGTTGGGGTTTGTGGTTTTTTTTTTCCCTGTTGTTGTTGTTTTAATTAATACACCATCTGGCTTTCTCTGAATTTGAACTGCTGGATGCATGGTACCTTGAGTACTTAATTCAGGTGACCTGGAATACTAGAATCAAAAGCCATTTTAAAGTACTGGATTGTATTTACACTGCAGTAAGTGATGAATTTCCTTCTGTTTTCTACAATCACAAACTCGTGCTCAAAATAAAGAAAAATTACTTACACCAGCAAAGGAAACCCAGTGATTGCAGAATTTGGAGTAGAAGGATTCTGGTATTTGCTGAATTTCCAGCTCTGGATTTTGTTGCTTTATAGACAATTCTACAGGAAAAAAAAAAAAAAAGAATTAAAAAAGAGACGAGACATTAGAAAGGAGCTATAATGTGTTTTTTTTCTTCTACTTTACATTACCAGATTCCAGAAAACCAAAGCAGAAATTCTAGCTGACAGCTGGGTATGGCAGAGTTAAACCAAAACCTCTAAAATGAAAGCAGAAAAGAAGTGCAAGGGAAAAAAAAAAGTTGCCAACTCTGGTACTGAGTCTATTTGAAGGCCACACTTCCCTATCTCTGCCTCAGTTTCCCTACTTGTGAAAAAAGAGAAATAATACTTTTCTCTCTCAGAGGGATTCATGAAGCTTAATTGACTACTGCTGATAAAACACTACAGCACTGACATGACAAACTCCAAGCAAACACACGGTATCAAATACCCTCATCGCCAACAAAACAAATTCAGACTCTTAGCTGTGGATGTTGAGTTACAGGCTCTATCTGTGGCAGGGGACCACTGCATTTTGATAGCCTGAGTTTTAGACTCGCACAGTTCCATCCCTCTTACCCCGCACCAGGATGAAGTAAATCCCAAGATACACTCAAAACCTTTTTAATGTACAGCGTTAAGCATGCATGCGTAGAATAACGAGTATATAGCAAACAACCCTACACTAAATATAGTCCTGCCTGCTTTCCTGCGATTAATCTTCTGTAGGAAATTGCATTGGAACTTCTCCTGTGATGCATTGCGATGAACTCTACCCTCACCTGGAATAAATGATATTATTGCTATGAATCACTGAATGACAGCCCCGTATAAAGCTAGTTTCACGCCTGCCTTCAGGAAAGCACCGGGAGGACCAAGGTTATAAACCATTCCCCTGTGAGCATGCAGATGTGCGCCTCCTACAGCCCTTACCTTCTCCCCTCTGGCCGGGGAGCGCTGGCACCTCACGGCAGAGCTGCTCCCCCCGCTCCAGCAGCCCACGTGTCCGCTGGGCGTCCGCAGCAGGCGATGAGCATGGGTCTGCACCACGCCGACAGCCCGGCTCAGCCAGGTCCTGCCGGCTCTCGCTGTGGGGCTCCACAGTCTCATGGCAGCCGTACTGAGTCGGGGGAGCATCGTGATGGAGATCCAGGAGAAAGCTGTCTTGTAACATCTGCTTGGCTGGCTTCTTTGCCTTCTTTTGTTTGACCTTTTGGGTTAAATTCTCTGGTCCTCCTTTTTTGCAAGTACCTGGCTCAGTAAGAAATGGTTTAAAAAGTTGGTCCATGTCTTTTGTGAATTCCAGCAAGGTGCCGTTTGATCTGCTTTGAATTGCTCCATCTGCTGCACGGCTGGAGGGCTTGTTGAAAATTAAAGGCTGGGAAGAGTGAGCAGGTCTAGCGTTTTCCATCTGGGTCTCGTCAGGTTTCTGTTGAACATTGTAGCTCAAGGAGACCGAGAAATAGGAATAGTCTACAGCAATATACGTCAACATGAAGTTGATGGTGACTATGGGAGCAAGAACATTCACTTTCCCAGTGAAGGTGAAAGCCATGGTGATGAGACTCGTTAAGCAAATCGCAGCCACTGGAGTCTTGTTGGGTCCTCTCTAGTTCGTAAATAAAACACTTACATTTAAATTAATAACCACGAGCCTCGCCATGAGGATTCCCCACTTGCTCAGCTGCCATGGGTGGTTACCTGGGCGGTCTGCAGTACCCCCTTAGTCACAAAATACATGCATGCATGTGCACGCAGAGGCTCACCGGCTTAATAAATTAAAGAACAGGCTGGAATCCAAAAGCTGCTGAGCTCCCAGCTCACCTCTGAGCCTTATTCAAGCTTTGTCTTTGGAAAATTCATCCACTCTCACTCTGCATCTCCATGGTAAAACAATGTCATTAAAGCAGCAATAAACCTTCAGAGAGATTTGTGGGGCTTATGGGAAGTCTGGCAATAAAACGTGTTAATTAGAGTTAACTGTTCGTCTCTAATTTCTCTACAGGAGTCCGCATCACTGCCTACCCAAAAGGCTCCTGCACGCTGCCATTGGAAAGGCTTTGACTGCCAGACACAGCCAAGGAAGCTCTGCCGGCATCGAGCAGTGCCACCTTCACATCAGCAGCCTCTGGCCCTGCCCTGACATACAGCCGAGCTAAATCCATGGTCTGCTCAGCCTCTGCACTCAGGGTTTCCCTCCTTTCATCCACCCGAGCTGCATCTGCCCAGCGGCAGGAGGAAAGCAGCAGAGAGGTTAGGCGGCCGAGGATGCTGGAGGGCAGGAGTCAGCTCCCAGCGATGCCGGGCATGCATCAGGAAGGCAGGCAGCCAGGAGAAACACCGCCTGCTCTTCTCCTTTGGGGTGGGGTGAAGGCAGGGAGAGGAGGAGAAAAAGAGAGGCAAAGCAAAGGGCTTCAGGGGTGGAAAGACTTGAGCCATCAGCTCATGAACTTTAATCCCAGGTCTAATGTGCCCTTCCTTGGACCAGGCACTGTCTTGCCGTTTTGGTACCCAAGAAGCCTGTGCAGGCTGCATAAAGACCTCACTGGAAAATATCTTATGAGATACCTTACAAAATATCTTAGGTTTTCATGTGTGTGTTTACCGCATGCGCTTCTTTAATAAACACACAGCTCAAAACTATTTCTAGTTTTATTTCCTCTACTCTTATTTATTAATAGAAAAGGGGACCAGTTCTGGACCTTACACCTTTCCACAATGAAACAGAAATACGTCTCAGGGACAAAGGAATACGGTTCTCTAAAAGCATCTTCAGTATCAGAAAGACGTACTGAGATGGGAAACAGATGGGACGATCTCAGGATGTCTCTGGCTTGGGTTTAACTCTACAGAAAACACTCGTGTCCTTCCCATCAGCTGGGGTTATGGTGACTACAACGCTTTCTTCAACCACAGAAAAGAACTGATGTGGAACAGACTGGTAAGGGCAAACTGAATTTATTAACTCTCCATGAACCAAATCTAGAAAAATTTTCAAGGTGGCAGAGAGAAGGAAGGGGGAAAGGTGATCTGCCTTTGATTTCTCACCTCTTTCTGAGCCCGTCCCATCATGGCACTCTGCCTGGACAGAGTTCAGAGCAGAAAATTTGACAGAAAGACAGAAAACTATCAGAGAAGAGAGGGAATCAACTCTGCAGTCAACTTTGCTAAATCACTGAGAATTTCACAAGGGTTGCCAAGTGGAGAACAGCCTGTTCTGCGATCACCTGACAACTGCATTCAGGGGCTGGAAGTTTTTGCTGTTGTTATTGTTCCTGCTTCCCCTATAATTATTACTATTTATTATTATTGCTATTATTATGACTTTAGTTTTAGAAAATCACTTTGAGGAACATAAAACAAAGGACAGAAAATTATTATACTTATAAAAAATTTAAATGTTTTAAAACATTAATAAATACCAATATTGTAAAATATTCTTCTGTATTTACAAGCTGCTCTAAAGGAACAAAACATCGTAAGGTTTTTCCAGCCACTTGGTACAGACAGTTAGGTACTGCAGGTTATTGAGAGTGACGGAGTTATTTTCTTCCTGTTTAGAAGATGGGAAAACTATAAAAAATAGTTTGCTCTGAGTGTATAGCCCAAGACTACAGAGACCTTAGCAACTGGTACTTTGACTGATCTCAGTAGAACGACTCCTGTGAACGAGGATTATTTGTTAGGACAAGGAAAAAGCCTCTTGTCATATTCAAAGCAAGGCTTTGTTTCAAAGTATATCTAAAGCTTAGCAGCCCCCTAACTTAACCTTTCAAATCTATTCTTTGTTTCTATTTTATAGTGTCCAAAAGGCACCTTATCTTACAAAGAAGTGTCCTCTTCTCCAGTGCACACAGACTGAATCCACAGCACCACAACTAGTCATGTACTCAGCTATGAGGTTACCAAAGAGGATAGGAACAGCTCAAAGAAAATGTGCAGGAAAAAAAAAGAAAAAAAAAAGATAAAGAGGCATCCATTTCACCAAGTGCTTGGACAAAAGCTTCAGGCCTCTGCCCTGGACAGGAGGGCAAAGAAGAGCTATGTACCTCCCTCCACCATGGTTAGGATCAGCACCAGCATAGATAACGCATTTGTAAAAAAACCCCACAGGCAAAGTTATATCCTAAGTGGCTGTTTTACTGGGGACATCTCGAAGAAGCGGGTCCAAGGGAGGGAGGGGACCAACAGCAGCCCAGGAAGGGCTGTCTGTGCACAGGGGCAGGACAGACAGCCCCGGGGCCGGGGTGCAGAGGTGGGCGAGCGAGATGCTGGGGTGAAGCAGGGCTGCTCCTGCGTGGTGCCGAGCCCCGCGGGAAGGCTCAGGGCAGAGGTGGTGCAGTGCAGGGGACAGGCAAGGAAAGGACCACAGGCAGCTGGGCTCTTGTTTTTTTAATAAAACCACCCATTTCCTGGCTTTTCTGCCTATGCATAGGGTACCAGATCCCGAGCCCTCTCCTCCTTGCATTTCATACATCCCCCATCTCACCCTACAGACACATAGAAATCCTGGCTTCTTAAATCACCAGTTTTCCTTCAGGTGAAGCTTTGACAGCAATCTCAGAGAAAGGATGACTAACCCCACGTCCAAGGAAGGCAAGCATGGGGATCACGTTCTCCTGGGCAATGCACTGCAGGATCCTGGGTGCTCCATACAGCCCTCCCATGCAGGAGGCCAGGGACGAGATGTACAGCCCTAGCAAAAACAAGAAACCCACCAAGGATACCTGGAGGAAGTGGAGAGAAAGCAAAGTTGATTATATTCTTCTTTAAAGACCCCCAAGCAGTCTTAAACACGTGAATTTTAAGAGACCGCACATATTTTGTAACATTGCTAAATGAACAGAGCGAGCCCTCAGAAAGCAGCAATTTAACTAGTCTGTGGTATAAAGTGCAAGTAATTAATACAGGAAAATTATCCCATAAAAGTAATTTCATACTGAACATCCTGCACCAACAGAGCCATGTGACAAGCTCATATCCAAGAAATTCTTTGTCACTTGGAGCAATTGCAGCAAAGCAGCAGCTATTAGATTCCCCTTAAGTAACTGGAAGTGAGTTTATTTCAGGAGAGATCACTTATATACAGAGCACATCATACAGGAAAAGCTGCCCAGGCTTCCAACCATCCAAAACAGGAAGACAAACCCCTGCGTCCCAGAGGGGAAAACCAATCCTGAAAGAAAATCCACAGTAAAACCAAATCAAAATTGCCACTTAAACAAATGGCATCTCAAAAAATACGCTCCGAAGGATATAATACAATGACCTTATTTTCCTGTCTTCAATGAGAAAAGAATTTCCTTTGGCCAACATGAAACTTAAAAAAAAAAAAATCTTTAAAGCCACAGTGCTAACAAGGCTGGGTTTATTACCGGTTTCTAGTGAGCACCCTTTCAAACGGAGAGCATCTCCTGCAGACGTGGAGGGAAAGGCAGGCAGCTCATGGTCTATCACACAGAAGCGAGGATGGGGGTCCCCCTGCGCAGGTCCCCACTGTCAAGAGCTGCAAGCACAGGCAGCACATCTAAAAAAAACCCACCCAAATACACAAAACCCTACAATATGAACACTGTGCATGAAAGCTTTGAAATGGGAGTGTTCCTGGTACCATGGTGTAAGGAGGTGGGCAGACACAGCCAAGGAGACTAAGGTCTGGGGTCACCTGAGCCATCCCCAAATCCTGCAAGACCACAGGAGTCTGACAGCCAGCAGCCAGCCACAGAGAAAGGCAGGCAAGGCATGGCGGGGAACACCAGCACAAAGGCCAGGCAGGGAGAAAGCCCCAAAATTTTGGTCCAGATCCATCCTGCCCATACTCCACTGAAGCAAGCTGCTGGAGGTACAGACAGACATCTGCGGCAGAGGATGTCACCAAATGCAGGTCCCCTGCATCCCACGTGTCCTTTGCTCCCACCCCTCCTCTTGGGGAAAATAAGGTCTAAATGAACATGGGTCCTCCCAGATTCTGCCCCTGTTGAAGTCCGGTGGCACATGCTTTATCAGAAGGAATTACAAAAATTTACACGGCTGAAGATGATTCAAGCTACATCTGCCTCTTCCTCATCTATGAAATCTGCACACAGCAAAAAGGAGATTGGGTAAAAAGCCATAAAATGCTTGCTGTTTGGGGAAGGCCTGTAAAATTAACGTCGTGGTCCAGAACCGTACAAACTTCCTACCACAACATTTCTTTTCCCCATGAAAATCCACTTCGCCTTGTGAATTTTATCTTGTGGGACAGAAGAAACTTGAGGCAAAGATGAGCAGATATCAGCTTCCATTAGACCAACAGACAAACACTCAACTGGGAATCTTCCCTTCCCTCTCCTCTAATCCTGCCCTGCTCTGATAAATACTTGGAAGAAACAATCAATTGTGCAAGATGTCATATATTATTTTAGCTGCCAAAAATGCTTGCATTTAAATGTACTACTTGACATTCAAATCAGGGTTAAAGGGGAAGAGTCCTTTTCACCAAGGCTGATGAAAGGGTTTGCTGGGGATTTTGAGCAGAGAGAGCGTGAATACTTTGTAAGAAATTGGCACTTCGAGCTCATTAGAAGTGAAAGTACTGAATCTCATTTTTATGTTTAAAAAGCCAAACAAGTATTGTAAGGGAGAAAAGCAGCCAAGCACTCGCTCACCTGTGAATGACAGAAAGGGAGAGTTTGGGTGTGTAATGATCTCCCCTCACACACACACCCCAAAGTCATTAAAATCTAAAGCAGCTTGTAATAACTCAAAGCAGCAACTTCAATATTGGGATTGCACCATTGTTTTGTTCCATACTAGGGAAAACTGAATTTGCTTTTTGGGGATTTTGGTTGGTTGGTTGGTTTTTTTGTACTTAACATTATTAAATATCTTCACATTCTTTACTGGGGGATTTTTTATTCCCCCCCCTGAGGATTTTGAAGTTAAAACACAGCTTTAACAATCTCTTTCTCTTCAGCTGATTCATTTAAAGCTGATTCTTCTAGTTACTGTACTTTTCTCCCACTATGTCATTGTCATACAAAGACGTTGCCTTAAAGAAGGTAGGCTCATTCTTTTTTCCCCTGAAACAGAGACAATTTTTTACCTTAGCAGGAAGTGGCAGGAGCCCCACCAATAATTTGGAGTTTATTTGGGGGACTGGAGGAAGTCTAGAGCTACAATTACTTAGAAAGAAAACAAAGCCAGAGTTTCAAATTTATATTTTAGATTAAAACCATGTTACAAATCAAATAAATGGCAAACATCTCAATTTTAAATTAATCACAAGAAATAGTGTCAAATATGGTGAACCCATGATTTTGGATAATGCTGAATAACAGAAAATTAGCCCTTCCATATCCCATTTAAAGTAAGACAGTGGCACACACCAAAACCTTTTGCTCTCTTTTTAAAGGCCTGCAATGATAAGGTTCATTGCCTGTAACACTAAAAACTTCCCTCATGTATATACACCCATGTGGAATGTCTCGAGTTTAATAATCCTATTGCCCGCCCTGCAATTACAGCCCACTAGATATGGAAATGTAAGCTTCGCTTGACTTAGTGAAGATAAGCAGTGGGGTTCTTTAGAGATTTCAATTTGGCCTAAGCTTTCACCAATGAGAAAGGAAACATTGACTAAAATACAGCATTTATCATTAGATCACATTAGCATATTTTAGCTCTTAAAGCTACTGCTGGGTGATTATGCCAAGATTCAGCATTACTGGAGATGCTGGTGAATGCAAAGCTATTCAAATCAATTGTACCCTGGGATTTACAATGGAGAAATCCCCCTGAATTTCAATGAGGGATGGGTACCCAAATTCCTTAGGCTTTTGGAAAACTCAAGTATTCGGTAAGGCAGATGGCAACCCAAAAGCACCGTTACATAAAACCACGCTGGTCTATTCGAACAAGTTACCTTCTCTGCTATCATGAAGTCATAGCGGAGTGACTGACGGGTACAAATGGCTCCCAGCAAAAAAACAAAGACCATGTATAGAAACCACCTGCAAACAATAAAAATAAACTATTTTTTTCCAGCAAGACAAGACCGTTGAGAATTCTGCCCATTAGCAGAGCCAGGAGACGGTCAAGTACCCGCAAGATGGGTCTTCAATCACTCTGCATGGGCTGCTCCTACATGGTTTAGCCTCAGGGCTAAACTGAACACAATTTTTTATGATGAGGGTGGTGAAACACTGGAACAGATTGTCTGGAGATGTGGTAGATGCCCCATCCCTGGAAACATTCAAGGTCAGGTTGGAGGGGGCTCTGAGCAACGTGATTCGAGTTAAAGCTGTCCCTGCTCACTGCAGGGGGGTTGGGCTGGATGAGCTCTAAAGGTCCCTTCTAACCCAAACTGTTCTATAATTCTGTGATTCTGCAGGTACACAGGTCCCCTCATCTGGCAGTAACGTTAAACACTGCAGCCGCCTGCTCTACCACCTCAGTCATGATCCTCCTCTGGCGTCTCCGGCCTTTCCAGTACTCAGATGGAGGGATAAGCTAGTCTGTTTGCAAAGCCCAGACAGCAGAGATGTGAATGACCACAGTCCATCCCTCTGTGATACTTCCGTGTCCTGTGGTATCCCCTCATTTAAAACAAGCCCCAGTTTCAGCAG